CTTCTAATCTGCCTGCGTAGACCCAGACCGACTGGGCATTGTTGGGTGCCCCATGGCTGCTCCCCTGGTACACCAAGGCCCTGGTCAGACTCTGGGAGTGCTGAGCTGGCTTCCTGTGCTCACAGCCTGTGTCCAGCAGGCCTTCCTGAGGCTTCCGAAGAGCACCCAGACCCCTCTGCTGGGAAGAGCAGGGCGCTCCGCAGACTCCTGGACCACACTACCACCACGGGGCTTCTAAAAGGACTGGCCACAGACATTCATATGGGAACCCACTGAGTATTGCCAAAGAGGTGCCTGCTCCCGGGCCTCCCGGGCCTCCCGGGCTTCCAGATGATGCCACATCACAACTACAATAGACGTTCAGCCAGTCACCCCAGGTGACACGGAGGCACCAGAAAGGACAGCCTGGGCCATACCATTAGCCTGGCTTCTAAGGAGCTGACTGAAACCTAATCTTTTTTTTCTTTTTTAATATTAAATAATGTTTTTGAAAAAACAATACACAGTTTAAAAAGGCAAAAGCAGAAAGGACAGAGGGTAGGTATTCGGTGACCAATAAGCCTCTCCACAGCCTCGACCTGGAAAGAAAGTCAGCTGGGACCCATCAGGGGTTGGGGAGTGCGGGGAGGTCGGGGTCTCAACTGGCTCAGAGCCCAGATGGACCCCAGCCCACTGAGTGGGGAACAAAGGTTTTCTTCTTTTTAATCCTTTCCTGAGAAATGAGGATATTTTTTCCATTGATTTTAGACAGAGTGGAAGGAAGAGGGGAGGAGGAGAGAGAAACATCGATGTGAGAGAGACACATCAATGGATTGCCTCCCACGTGCGCCCAGACTAGAGGTGGGGATCAGCCTGCAACCCAGGTGCATGCCCTTGACTGGGAATCGAACCCGTAACCCTCCTGTATGCAGGCCAATGCTCTAACCACTGAGCAACACCAGTCAGGGCCAAAGGTTTTATTTTTTAAGCAAGGGAGTGGCAGGGTCAATTTGTATTTCAGAAAGAACATTCTGGCAGCTGTGTGGACGGTGAACTGCAGTACCGGGAGAGGGCCTGGGTTCCCACAGCACAATCCCACGCCTGCCCCTGAAAAGGAGCCCTGTTATCCATTCATAAGTCACTGAAAATCATTCTGAAATGCATTGTACTGAATCTACACACATTAATTAACACCCACTGATAGTAGTGAACTATTATTTCTGGGGAATTTTTCTTTCCCATCAGACTCTTCTGATTCCTGATTCTGGATTCTTTTCCTCTGCCCAATAAATGGCCACCCCTCCTCCTCCTCCTCCTCCTCCTCCTCCAGCTGCTTCGTATGCACATCTGAAACCAGAAACCTGATTTCCATTAATTAAATCTGCCATTAAAAATTAAATAACGTGAGCAAGAAGGTGTGTTATCTCTACGGGTTTCAAAAGTCACAGTGTTTCTTCAATTACTTCCCAAGCAGTTTTCATATTTCATACTGTCTGATTTCTCCACGGGCCTGGATTTGCAAGATCAAAAGAGAGTGCAAGGGTGAGGGGAAGCGCGGTGAAAAGGCTCCGAAAGGGAGGACAGGGAAACCGTTGTGGAAGGCCAGGAAAACGGTCCTGCTGCCCCCTGAGGAGCTGGGACCCGGGAGTGGGGAGGCCTGGGTAACCCACTGGCCCCATGCTTAGAGCAGGTCTAGGGGACTGTGGACAGGAAGATAACTAGGCTCATTCTGATGGCCTGCAGAGGAGCCACTGGGGAACTTGGGAGCCCTGACAGACACACACCTGCACTGGGTGGCATGGGAGGCATTGCTGTCCAGAAGAAAGACAGAATTAAGGTCTAAGGTGCAAGCCAGGATCAAGAGAGGCTGCCAGGGTCAATGAGGATGGACACGGGCTCTGGAGTCAGGTGGGTTGAACTAGGGCCTGGCTCCCAGGAGTTGTAAACGTGGGCCAGCATCCAGACTGGGGACACTGTCTGTAAACTGAGGACATTAATAGAGCCTCCTTCACACAGTTTTGTTGGAAATGATACAGATGCCAGTGAGATAATGCATACAAAATGCTCAGAACCGTGTCTGGCACACGATAAGCTCAATACATATATTAAGAACTTAACACCCAGATGCATATCAACCAAGGGATACATCTGGAAGAGACCCGGCAGTGCTGAGAGAATGAGGGAAGGCTCCTCCAGGATGGAAGCTCCACAAAGAAGGGGCTCACCTGTCCTGCTTGCTGATCTATCCCCAGAGCCCCTAACACTACCTGGCACATAGTAGACCCTCAATAAAGAGTTGTTCAGTAAATGGAAGTAGGGGGTCAGAACCACCAGAAAAGATCCAAAAACACGGTAAGTTCATGGCCATTAGCTTAGTCAACTGAGAAGGTTTGCTGGGCTGCCACTCCGTGACCGGCAGGCCGC